TCAGTCCTTCCAGCTGATGAGGTACACCTGGCCCAGGCTGTCTCCGCATGCCAGCTCTGAGGGCCGAAGGGGGTTCACCTCCAAGCTCCAGAGGGGGGCGTGGCACAGGAACTGACCCACCTGGACAGAAACACGAGATCCGTGTAACAGCCATGTCTGCAGTTTAACCCCACCTCTCCTGTGCACTGACTCATGCAGCTGCACCTCTCCTGTGATGAGCACGGGAATTGAAAATGCAGTTGACCTGAATTCCTTACCCCTGAACAAAACCTATCATCCATCTGATGGTGCGTACATATATCGCGCATATCAGCACAGAGCAGATCAAATCTCTGGACTTCCTTCAGGGCAGCGATCATACCAGTTCTGAATCCTGCACTATTGTAACAGGGCTGGACCAGGTACAGAAAAAAAAGTCACCCGCATCTGAAGTTTAGATTCTCCTGTGGCAGAAGACCCAGTCATTTTGGAGTTACTTCCTCACTCAGGTGCTGCTCTGTGTGCTCTCGGAGTTTGTGAGTGAATGGGACAGACTAGTGATGCACCAGTGATGTGGAGGTGGACTTTTGGCTTAATGGACTTATCTGCTGTCTAGGGTGTGGTGCTGTGTGTGCTCGGAGTCCGTGAATGACCGAGTTTCCTGGCTGGGACAGACTAGAGCTGCATTTGTCACTGGTGTTGTGCAGAATTGGCTCTGTGGCTCAGGATCTGCGCCTGTGCCTGGAAGGCTGCCGGTTCGTATCAAGCGGCCGGCAGAGGAATCCTACTCCGGCGGGCCCCTGAGCAAGACCCTTAACCCCAAGCTTCTCTCTCCCCCTGTCTGTGTGTCTTATGGAGAGCAAGCTGGGGCATGCAAACAGACAAATTCCTAATGCAAGAAATTGAATACGGCTAATAAAGTGATCTTATCCTGTGGTGGAGGACCTGGGCTTTTGGCTTGGTAGAGTTTTCCGCTGTCTAGAGAGCGATGCTGATCTTACGTGCACAGAAAGAAAACATCACCAGCTACTAAAAAGGGCTCATTATTCATCCAGTGTCTGTAATACACATGCCGGCCAGCTCTCTGACTGGCTCCAACACCCCCCCGACTTCCCACGGTCCCAGGCACCTGTTTCTTCGTTTCTCGATCCCACAGCTTCAGACTCCTGTCGTGCGACGCGGAAATGATCATGCTCTCCGTCACCTTCAGTGTGCTGATCCTGTCACTGTGCACCTGTAAACAAAATTTAAGATAATTTGCTGGCCCGGACCCATTAATAAACAGCAACACACCTAGTGGAGACACTCGTGGGGACTCCAAATAGATAAATATTCAACATACATGAACTTACTGAAGCCAGTGTATCCCTGTACACCTGGAACAGTGCTACCAAGTACCACCAGGTAGGATTCTTCCACCTAGTCTACAGAGCAGCCACATTATCAACTTGTAATCTAATCCAATCAGATCAAAGAAGCTAAGCCTGATCAGACTGAGCCTGATCAGCGCTGGATTGCTGCTGCTGCAACTCGTGATGCAGGACCAGTAGTTGGCGCTCTTCCTTCTGGATCAAAATTGCCAGACCAATACCAGTATTGTGATCTGGGCCACTGTGCTGTAGGAGGTATCTGTCCTTGATGAGACTGAGATCCTGACTCCTTGGGTCAGTTCAGTTCATTTGTCATATGAACAAGTTTAATGAAATGCTTATTTGCTCCAATACAAGGACATGACTTGGTCATTAAAGATCTCGGGGCACTGATCAGAAGAATAGAAGAGTTACCCAGTAAACTCCTGGTGTTATGGGTACATTCCACTCTGGACAGTGTTATCGAACATATTTTTAAAAAAGATTTAAGCTTGCTTCCTAGGCTCTCAAGCTTGCAATATTTCATATTTAAGGCTAACTGTTCACACCTGACTGAAGCTGGCTCCCTTCCACTAAGAAAGTCAACAACTATAGTAGCTAAAGCGAGGTCAAGGCACTTGGCTGTGTGCCTAGAGTGTGGTGGTCTAGATGTGAATGAACAAGGCGGGAACAGCTCTTCAAAGTGAGAATGTTCCTACTGTTGTGTGTGCAAGAAACAGGAAGCGTGTGAATGATTGGCATGAGCAGTTCCACACATATCTTCTCCGCTCAGCACCAAAAAGCTATAAAAGTCTGGATCACGTACCCCAGAACAGACAGAGGGGCTGCCTCTATGCGCGTGAAATCAATAAATTCCTAAGCTGATCTACTGTGAGCAGAGCCTTCATTTTCCACCTTAACGACAGCGTGGCTTCCCCATATATTTCCCATTAATTCGACAGGTGAGGTCATTTCTCCCCTCTAATCACCAGTTTATGTATTGGAGTTGCTGCACACCTACCAGGGAGGTACAGAACTTCAGTGGGATCTCTTCTTATATGTAAAGATCTCAGAGCTCATCAAGAGTGAAAACCGCTGTAGAAATGCAATTTACAGAAAGGGGACAGGAGCTCACCTGCTTCTTGCTGCTCCAGGAGCCAGTTTCTGGGGGCTGGTTGTACCACATGTTGCCTTTGGAATCTCCGAACACAAACAGTTCTGTGACAGGAGATGGCGATCGATGAGAAAAGACACTCAAAACCTCACCAGGGTTGTATTATCCAATAGGCACAACAGACACTGTGCCTTGGGCCCACGAAAACTGACAACAATTCTGACCATTTTTAAAAAAAAATGATATGGCTAATAGCTGAAGCACAGATCTATCCTTGAATATAAGCCTAGGCAGAGTGTATTACACAAAGAGTCACGTCAATGGCCATTGTGTTATTTTTTTGTTCAACGAAGTGTAAGGAATTAACCATTTAATCATGGAAATGCATCTATCCCAGGGCCCAGGAACCGTAAGTGTCTGATGCCTATAAAGATTTTAATCCAGCCCCGGATGCCCAGTTCCACCGTCAGTCCTGGCTAACGGTGGCGACTTCCCCGCGGCGGTGAGGATGAAGACCTGCGATGCCCTACCTTTGTGCATGGCGGCCGCCGTAACCTGCGAGTCCCCTTCGTCGGGGGTGTCGGGGCCGCCTTCCATCTCCACGTAACTGAAGCCAGAATGTACGTTGCTGGTATTCCCCATGGTGTACTGAAACAACCAAACGGACCAAGAGAGTAACCCACCAACCCAAGCACGCTGGAGGGACTGGCAGGAGGGAGAGAGGTTTCCCTAAGAGTTACTGAAATTTCCCACCCAATCCCAAATCCCGACCTTCAAGCCGGATCAGCTTCAGCCCGGGTAGGGAAAGAGGGTAGTGTAGGGAGAGAGGAAGGGACGTCACGCACCCTTTTCATCCAACACCACGCTAACCAGGATCAGTCTGGTCTGATGGGTGGAGACTAACTTGCTCAGATTTGGAAATGAGTCTGAAACCACAGGAGTCAAAGTTAACGAAGCGCCGGCTGCCGGGGGGTTGCGAAAGGGGGACGCTAACGAGAAGACGGACGAGGCGGGGATGGGAGGGGAGGAGACAACGAAGAGGAGGAACTCTCACCACAAAGCCCACATTGGGAACCCCGTTTGCCTCTGCCAGGACCCAGGAGCTCTTGTGGTCGTTGGGGTGGAAACCCAGCACCTTGTGGTACAGTGGGAGGCTGCGGAAAGAGAATCACCGCAGGTGAGCGAGCTCCTTCTCTGGACTGCGGGAGGACTGGACTGACTCACACCTGTCGATCAATGGATGTCAGTGACCCCAGGTTCGGGTGGGGAGCTGCAAAGAAGCCATCAGAGAATAATTCCATGCCGAGAAGCACACTGGAACCTGAGGACCGGAGGCACTGCCTTACACAAAGGACGGGGGATGACTGGAAGCTCTTGTTGCTGCTGTCATCCTAGATTCCTTCGAGACATGGGTGCGATCATCAGAAATAATCCTATTAACCAAAGACCAGGTAGGCTAGATCAGCATTCCGCCTGTGACAAGCCCGCAAGTATTTTTAAAAAGGGTAGAAGAGTTTTTGGGCGTTGCCACCTGCTTCAGATGTGCACTAGAAATCAACATTTGAGGGAGCGATTTTTTTTTCCTCCTCCCATGTCGGCAGCGGCTACCTGCAAGTGGACTGATCTTCGCACATCTCGTCCACGATACTCCCATCGGTGCAGGCCCACACAGACCGCAGGGTGAGCGCCCCCTACTGGCCCCACTAACACCTTTTCCAGCAGCAACTTTAGCTTTTCCCAGGAGTCTTCCATCCTGGTACTGACCAGACACACATCTGCTGAGCTTCAGTGGGACTCCCACTTGTGAGTTGCAGGGTGGCATGGGTGCTTTAAATACACTACCCTGCTGTTCCCACTTAAGTGTTTCATTTAACCTTCACCTGAGTATGGAACTTGTGCACTATGCACTAGCTGTGCGCTGGAAGGGGACTAAGTCCTACCTGCGTGCAGCAGATCACAGAGCTCTGGGCCTACACACAGCCGGCCATCCTCATGGCCCAACACCAGCAGCAGCCCGCATGGGGAGAAGGCCAGCGCTGTTGTCCCCCGCTTCGTAGCAGAAGCACATTCTGGAGATCATAAAAAAAAAGCGACAGAAAAATCAGACTGCAACATGGACAGTAAACATGAAGAAGAGTTGAGATAGAAGTGCTTATAATTAGAAAATGGATTGATGCCAGAGAATATATATTGGTCTTTGGCTTTACTCAAGATCAAGGCACTGTGATAGAACCCTGATAAGCATACATGTTGGAAACTCTGAACTGACCAATTTTATAATCAGCGTTTAAGAGAAAAACAGGCTTTCTGCTATACTAGTCTCATACTGCTATATAACTATATTGCAAAGCACTTGCTTAAAAAGCTTGGAGAAGGCATTTGCCCTTAGGACATGACAAAAAAAAGGGGACCTACACCAAAAAAGGGGTTAATGGAGTGGTACTCCCCTAAAATCTACAGGCTCTCTCCCTGGTCTGGATTTGAGGCGAGGGGCTCAGAGAAAGGTTCATTACCCATTGCCGTGGAGAGGCTCCAGACTCTCAGCGCACGGTCCTCCGACACCATGAGGAACGCCAGGACGACATCCTCGGAAACCGAGGCACAGACCCCTGCACCGTAACAAGACAGCATGCTGTGGTGCGCCACCTACAGGTGACAAAAGGAACAGGCTCTTCAACTTGAACTCAAGGTGCCACCTTCCTCCCACCCACACTTAATAAAACCACCCTTCTAGCTCATGATTAGTCCAACCGTGACCTGGCATCACTTATTTTCCTTTTGCGGGTCACGTATACAGAACCGCTCAAGTCCCTTTCACCTTGTGCAGGTTTCAGTCTCCCATGGTGGGGCAAAGCAGTGAGCTGGTGAACCTGCAAGTACTTGCACAGAATTACTTATGAATCCCCCAGCTCCCAAATAGGCTTGGAGACAAGGTCTAGACCAGAGCACTTAATCAACCTGCCAGAGACCTGCTGGAGACAACTGGGAGCGTGAGTCACGTCATGCAAAAATAAAATGCTACTGATCGACAGCAGACATATCCTCGTTTCACACAGTAATACCTTCTGCAGAGCAGGCCAGACTTCTGCAAGATCATCTCATACTTGGTACAGTCACAAGTCATATCGAATTTCTTAGCTCAGCCCTGAACTGAATGTCAGCCTTCTATTTTGTTGCGCAAAACATTTTCATTTGAATTTCGGAACACGCATCAATACACAAAAAACACGGAAGAACAAATATCAACACTACAGTTAACATTACAGCATCAATACCATCAAACAAATGCATGCAATACTAGTTTTACACGCATGAAGACAGAATGCACTTTATACCACATGTACTTACCTACTTTTGGAAACAATTTCTTCCCTTGATTGTTCTGTTTTCATGGGGTCGTCTGAATTCAATGGCTCTGTGTTTTGTATCAAGAAAGCTGCTTGGATTTGAATTGAGAGCAATATTTAAGACGGACAAACTGGCCAGAGCCAAAACGACTGTATGTTGACCATACACTGTACAAAGTCCAAAATGGCAGACAGACATTTTGCCGTACTCTGCCAGGTTAAGAGGCTGACTTCGCTTTAATAACATAGTGGAGCTGTCCCATATTCCACTTTGTCTACATCCATAGCAGACAGGAGCTGTCCAATGTTCCAGTGGTGCTAAACTGCATCACATCTCCAATCCCATGAAAGACTGATTGTGCCACTTGAGTGTTGCTACAACATTGTTTAAAGGAGCTGTCCCGCTCCAAAAGGTGCCGAAGACTTCAGAGCAGGTGTTCGATATGAGACAACTCTTTTCTGTCTCATCTGCTTTTGTTCATTTGCCAATTACGTGCTGCCTGCAGTTACAAAACGCATTTAGTTTACACATTCTGGTACACTGCATGACATTTTTACACCCACGTAAGGAAAACATGGCATAATGCTAAACAACGAGTCATCAAGCAAATCAGAGCAAGTGCTTGCCTTCTTGACCATTTCTGCAGAAACCGACGATAACTGTCCTGCATTTCTGAGGGTGATGTGACAGACCTGGCTGAAATTCTTTGATTACTTATGCAAACTTTTTTTAATGAAGTTCACATTAAGTTCATAATTCACAGGATGT